CAGGGAGATATGACAGGCAATGGGTAGTTGATAAGCGGAAGTAGGATCTAGTGTGTGTGACGGAGCTTAGAGCTCATCAAGTGGGGTAGACAAGAGTCAAGCAACAAGGAGCACTGGCAGGAGGACCGGAGACAGGATGAGGGCAATGAGTACAAGGAAAAGCTGCAAGGGAAGGCGAGGAGGGCACGGGATAAAGGAGAGGGAGGAAGGAATGGATGGCACAAGGACAGGAGGCAGGAGTGAGATGGAGCCTGGAACGGGGAAGAGGGAGGTATCCGACACGAGCGAGAGTGCGAACGAGAGAGCGCGTGAGAGAGCACGCGAGAGTGAGCGCGAGGGAGCGCGTGAGGGAGTGCGTGAGAGTGCACTTGAGAGAACATGTGAGAGAGCGTGTGCAAGAGTGCGTCAGAGAGCGCAAGAGAGAGCTCGTGAGAGTGCACGTGAGTGCGCGTGAGAGTGCACGTGAGGGAGCCCGTGAGAGCGCGTGTGAGAGAGCGCGGGAGTGAGCGAGTGAGAGCGCAGGACAGAGAGTGTCTGAGGGCCCGTAAGAGGCGTGTGAGAGTGCACGTGAGAGAGTGTGAGGACGCGTGTGAGTGTTGACTTCTCTGATTCTGCTTTGTGGAGGGCGTGTGTTTATTGATTTCTCTGATTTTGCTTTGTGCAGGGTGTGTGTGTGTTGGCTTCTTTGATTTTGCTTTGTGTAGGGCTTTTGTGTGTTGACTGATTTTGCTTTGTGCAGGGCGTGTGTGTGTTGCCTTCCCTGATTTTGCTTTGTGCAGGGCGTGTGTGTGTTGACTTTCCTGATTTTGCTTTGTGCAGTGCATGTGTGTGTCGACTTCCCTGATTTTGCTTTGTGCAGGGCGCATGAGCTGAGACGGGAGATCAGGGAGGGAGTGGGATGGAGATGAGGGGGGGAGGGAGGGGGGGGTTGTAGAGAGGGGAAGGTGGGATAGGCCAGCAAACATTTCCGCATTTCCAAAAAAAAATCATGACGGTTGCGTCTTTATTACGGTCTCTGTAGCTATCTGTGCTTGTTTGCGTGTGTGTTAATGTGTGTTGTGCACGTGCTTATGCGTGTATGTACGTGCGTGTGTGAGCCTATGTGAGATACGTGTGTTCGTCTGTTTGCACTTGTCTGTCTCATAACTGATGTGTGATGTTAAGGTGTGTCGGGTCTGCAACTGAGGTGGGGATCGTTGTTGGGGCAGCGTTGCTTGCCTTACCGTACCGGAACCACCTCAGCTGTAGCACAAATTCATCTTAGCATTCACTCACAGTTGTTTGTGTTGTTTTTGCACGTGTTATGCAACTGAGGTGTGATGTTAAAATTGTCAGAATGTTATATTTGTCTAGCCTGCAGTGGGGTACTCTATAGCGAGTACAGCCCTATTTAGGGTTTCCTATATGTATTCTGCTGCTGCTAGTACAAAGCCCTCTTCTCTGTTCTATCGTTTTTACCTTCTATTCTGACATGCTATCAGAGCGTTCCGCTCCTGGCCTGTGGGCTCGCCTGCATCCGCTGCTGTCCTGTCTGTCGCGCGCCCCGTGGCGCACGACGTTTTTTGTTTCTTCCCGACACGCGCTCGGTGCGCATGGCGGGTTTCTACCCGCTGTGCGCCCCGAGGCGCGCGGCGGTTTACTACCTTGCGCGTCACCCTGGGGACCCGCGCGTCCCCCCCTTCGTCGACCGTCGCGCCGCCCCCGGGGACCCGCGCGTCCCTCCCCGTCGACCGTTGCGCCGCCCCCGGGGACCGGCGCGTCCCTCCCCGTCGACCGGCGCGTCCCTCCCCGTCGACCGTCGCGTCGCGAGGCTTCTTCCTCCCCGCAAGTGGCGAGTGTGGGGGTGGCGAGTATGGGGGTGACGGTTGTGTGAGGCCTCCCCTGCTCCTCCTTCTCCTCCTCCGTCTCCCACTGCCGCAGCTGCCGTTAAGGGGGATGGATGTGTGGGAGCCGTCGGAGTGGTACTAGGGGGGTGGCGTGTGAGCAGTGCTAGGGGTACAGCAGGGGGTGTGTGAAAGGGGTGTGGGACAGCTGGGGGAGGTTGAGTGGAGGCAGCCGTCTTGTCGTCCGCAACGACTGTTGTCCGGGGCTCTGCCGCTGGTAGCCCAGAGAGCCTGCTGCGCCTGTCGCCTGTGGGTCCGTTGCTCCTGCCGCTCGTCTTAGCGCGGAGCCAGTTATTCCTGTAGTCCGGCGCCCTTGCCACTAGTAGCCACAGTGTGCGCGCTCCTATTGCCCGTGTGTCTGCAGCTTCAGCCGTCGCCTCCCATCTTCTCGCCCCCACAGTCTCTCCTCCTCCTCACTTGCCCTCTGTGATAGCCTCTAGCTTTGCTTATCATTGTGTTCTATTGCTCTGCCTGCTTATTGTGCTGATTATACCCCACTTTGGCTATGGGGGTGTGTCAGAATGTTGTATTTGTCTAGCCTGCAGTGGGGTACTATATAGCAAGTACAACGCATTCAGGGTTTCCTATATGTATCCTGCTGCTGCTAGTCCAAAGCCCTCTCATCTATTCTATCGTTTCTACCTGCTATTCTGACAAAAATGTGTCGGGTCTGCATTTGAGGTGGGGATCATTATTGGGGCAGCGTTGCTCGCCTTAGCATACCGGAACCATCTCTATTGTAGCATGTATGCATTTTAGCATTCACTCTCAGCTTTTATGTGTTGTTTTTTCACGTGTCCGATGGATGCGCTGCATTGGAATTGCGTCCACGTCTTAGCGGGTGTTTCTCGTCAATTCTGTTTCGTGACGGCCAATTGTTCCATTCGCCGTATTTATCGACGATTATGGAATGGAGGTTACCCTACATTTGGTTTCATTTTTGGGGGAATCTTGTATCGGTGTTTTCGTAATGTCCACAACTTTGGGACACTTGGGCTGCGTTCTGCGGGCGCATCAGCTCTGATGCGCCCTAGGCTCGGCCTGATCCGCACATTGACAAATTGAGGTTCGGAAATCAAGAATTTGAAATAGAAAATTTGAGGTTCGGAAAATGGAAATTGAGGTTCGGAAAATCGAAAATTAAAGCTTTAAAAATTTCGACATTTCGGATGTCGATTTCAAATTTCCTCAAATTCGACATTGCGGAGGGAATCGGGGAAGTCAGACAGCACGTGCCTGACACCTTCACCTGATGATTGGACATCCTGCCCGACGCTGCCCACACACGAGCCGGGTAGCGGCCTAACAATCTGACGTGGAAACCTGAACAACCATTGAGATAGAAACCTCTCTGCATCGATTCAGAAACCGTTCTTTTGGTCGGTACTATTTCTGGCGTCGGGCAGAAGAGGGCAATTAATGTCGCGGCCGTTAAATTTTTTTTTGGTACATTAGTTGCCCCATCCGAGCTGATGCGCGCATCATGCGCGTTCCCTGCGTTGCATCATGCGCGCATCAAGGATGCGTCAGATTGCTAGGACGAAAATTTTCTTGGAAAGCAGCGACATGTAAATTTGTGGTTGCCAAAAAGACTGTTCTGCAGGCATTCGGGCTCAGTTTGCCTCGGCAGCCAAGCGCTTATCGCGAGCCAAGATAACTCGTCAGCTGGTTATCAAAGAAGGCTCCTGGAAAATCTTAAAACATTTTAAATGTACATTGATGCGGGCAGATGCGCCCGCAGAACGCAGCCTCGTTTTCCGCATGCGAAAGGCGATATGGAATGTTACAGATGAAGGCGAGCCGGCTGACAGACGGGTCGTCGGAATCGAACGTCAGCTGCGGGCTCGTCCATTCACAGTAGACCTGGGCGAGTCACGCACGGCGAGCCAGGAACCCTGCTCGTCGCCGTTTGCCAGGTCAGATCCATATGGAGCTGCCAGCCACAGGTTATTCAACTAACTGCTCGTCCCGAAGAATCATGTGGGCTCCATCTTTCCCCGTTCAATTCTGGCCGCACAGTTCCGCTGCGGCACTAGGGACTGCGATGCAGAAGAAGATGTACCCAAGTTGACATTTCAAACACCACGGCATCACGAGTTTGTGCTGAGGTCGAGACCAGCGCGTAAGTTTTCATCTGGTTTACAGCTCATTCTGTGTGGTAAATCGTCTTGCGTCGCGGTGAAAAACGGTGAAGATGAAGAAACGTTCTGCACCGTTTAATATTGGTTTTAAACCACGACGGATGAACTGTAAAGAAACTGTAAGGGCGGGTCAGGTTTAAATGAACCTGGTACGTTTAATGCGGTTTGGTGCTTCAGAGAGGGTTTGAAGACGATTCTGAGTTTCCACCGAAGCTAAACGTCTCTTATCGCTTTTCGACGTACTTGACCGCATTAAACGTACCAGGTTCATTCAAACCTGACACGCCCTAAGTGAACCCGCCCTGATGCGACAAGGACGTTCCTATTTGTGATAAGCACGCCCTTTGGGGTGTCTTCGTGGTGTCAAAGAACAACGGAGCTGCGGCGGTAACCAGGGCTCGCACAGGCATCACCATGCGGCACTACACCGTACTTGCCCTAGCGAGCTGTGGAGTGACGTCGTCCGTGCGACCCAATGCTTGCCCCGTCTCTTTTCGCTAGTAGCGAGGTGGAGGGGTGTGGTCGGGGGGGAAGAAGGGGGAAGATACGCAATTTCGATTGAACATATGCCTTGGAGTTTCTCAAGAACTCAGTCTAGAGCCCTGCAGTACTCAGTTTCTCAAGACCTCAATTTGTCATAGTACGAAGCTCGCTAGACACGCGTGTTTGAGCTCGTACTACGAGGTGAGGTGCATCCCCGCAAACTCCAAAGTTCTCTGATGAGCCAACATCATCCTCTCCGTGCTCCCATATCAACATCAGTCGTCTGTAGCTTGCGGGGTCGCATAGTACGTACGTAGAAGCACGAGTGTGATACGTGCACACACTGCTCCCGGTGCCAGCGATTCACGAGCCTCGCACGATCCCTGTCGCACAGCAGTATGATATACTAGCTCCATTCGACCTGTCCCGGTCCCTCCAAAAGGCGGCCATCCGCTCACCGTGTGAAACGCCGCGTCCCGAGGGCCCGACTATCATGATCCGCGAAGCATCACGACTCGCCGAGCAGGGAAGTGGCGGCCCGAGCAGCGGCAGCATGCGGCGCTCCAGCCTCGCCTGCCGCCCGACCTGGGCTCCAGCGGCCGCGCTGAGCCGCCAGGGGATGCCAGTGGCGCGTGAGCGCGCGCTGCGCGTGCTGGTGCTCGCGTGGTGCCTCGCCGCCCTCGTCACTCCCCTCGCCATCGTCACCGTCACGGTGCCAATGCAGACATCGCAGGGTGAGACGCGCCGTGCCGCACGAAGCCGGGTACGTTGTTACCCCTCTTCAATTTAAACCCCACATCCCTACGTGCGCTACTCACCCACATCATCCCTCAACCCCTTTTCTCCTTACCCTTTCTCCTACTACCACCCCACAGCACTTCCCCTATAGCGCCCCGCGACCCACTGGGTCAAAACAGGGGTGTTACAGAGGCGCAGCGAATGCCGTTCAACCCGTTGCGTAAACCCGCAGGCGTTACATCCCCCCCTCCCCCCCCCCCCCCCCCCCCCCCCCCTCCCTCCCTTTCCTCCCCCCGCTACCCCCTCCACCAATCTGCAGCTCAATTTCTGCAGGACTGCCAGACGACATGGAACCTTGCTTACCGTGGCTGGGATGGGCCGAATCCCAAATGCTTCGTCTCAGGAGACTGGACCGATTCCGAAGCATCCTTTGCTAAGGGCATTGCATGCGACGACACGGGGATGATCGTGGATATGTGAGCCAATGTCATCTGCTGTCTGGGGTTTCCCACAATACAGCTCCATGCAGTACTAGTAAGCACACGGGGCCTTGGGATCTTCAGGGCAAAGACACTGTTCTCCTGAGGGACGATGCCATTTTATGTACTGTTTGTCTAAGCTGATGGTGGTGAGATGTTTTGGTGCAGAGTTCTAGAGTACAATTTAGTGGAAGGGTCTCTTCCGAATTCCATTGGCAACCTGAGAGAGCTCAGTTACCTGTACGTCCTCCCAGCCTTGTGAACTGCCGGCCTGCAAGGTGCCGAGAGAAGCCACGACAGGCGTAGTGGAGGAGGACAAGGGTTAGAGTGCGGTAGGAGGGAGAGTGAATTTGTCGAGCGCAGCTGTGCTGTGGTGATCCGCCTGGGGGTTGTGACTTGCGAAAAAAGATAGAGCGAGTCCCAACAAATAGAGCGAGTCCCAACAAATAGAGAGAGTCCCAACAAGTAGAGCGAGTCCCAACTGGAAGGATGCAAGTTCGGAAAGAGGTAACTGTAACTGTTTATGTGCCATTGTCAAATGCAACTGTAACATCCTTGCTCCCTTGCTCTTTGTCCCTTGTCCCATGGTTTGCATCTCCCCTTTTAGTGAAACCCACTTGTTTCCATCTCATTCTTACTGAAACCCCACCGAAGCTCCCATTCTTACCCCACCTTTCCTGTGCTTCCATTGTATGCCCACTTACACAATCTACGTTTCCTGTCCTTGCAGCTCCTCTTTCTCCTACATCATGCTTCTTCATTTTCAAACCCTTTGGGTTCCCTTCTGTAGACATTTTTGGACCCTCCATTTATCAATGAAAAAGCCCTGCCCCCATCTATATGTTGCCAGTGCCAGAGGTCCACCTTGCTTATCCCACCCCCATCTATCCCTTGATATGCCTGCATACATTCCAATCCAAGGACAATGTCTGTTGGCACCCATGCTGCTTCTGCAGCTAGAAAAGGCATAAACACGGTGGTTTCAAAGTACTTTGTCATACACACGGTTGAGCTTCTGCTGGTTTCAAATGCTCAATTGTGTTCATCATCACAGTGACCTTTCTTTTGGTACGGTCTCTGGCTCAATCCCAACTGAAATCTTCACCCTAGCAAAGGTGACACTCCTGTAAGTCTTCTGTGCGCTTCAATAAAGCTCACGCCTTTCCCACCCTCTTCCCTTGTACTCATAACGTTTGCATTCTTTCTTGTTTCAATCAATCATCCTTGTGCGTCCCTTTCCTATATTTGCACCTGTCTTCTCACCTCTCATATTAACCTCACTCGTTGCCTTTCCTCGTCCACTTTTCTTTCCTTTTCTCATCTTTGCGAAGGAGTCATCTCCCTGCACTTTTCCGAAGCCATTTCATCCCCTCCGTTACCGACGTTACACCTCACACACATATTTTCCATCGCTAGCACTTTGAGTATGTCAATTGCATACTTACTATATGTATGTATACATGCACTCTTCGTTTTCATCTTGGCTTGTTTCTGCCTGCTATGATGCCTCATTGTTATGCCAGCTACCTTGGACATAATAAGTTCACAGGCACAATCTCCACTGCAATTGGCATGCTTACCAACCTGATTAAATTGTAAGACCTCTGTTTTTTTTTTATGTTCTCCTTCCTATGCCCCACCTGTGTACTCTTTGTTCTCTCAAAGTAAACTAACGCAAGGCCTCTTTTGACTGGTCCATTTAACGTAAGGCACATGTTTGGCCCGGACGGATAGCTCCTTTGGGGTTTTCAACCCAATCAGGTCGACCCAACCCGACCCATCCTGACCCGACCCTCGGGTTGGGACTGACCAGCTGGGCTGGGTTGGCCCCAACACGGGTATATGCAGACTTGACCCCATTTAGGCGGGGCTGGGTTGGGTCGGGCATGTAAAGAAACTAACTGAACGAGGGATGATGATTATGACAGCATGCATGGGTACAAATAGCATGCAAATGTGTTGTGCTCTCTACAGCATAACTCAACCTAGTCTACAACCAAATAGCATGCATGGGTACAACCAAATGTGTTGTGCATATTTTGACACATCCCCATAGGCTAGGTGAGGGGCATCACTAAAACAAGAGAAGCAACAACTCAGTGCGGCTCAACTAGTCCAATCATTAAGGCAAATGGTTACAAGACCAGTCAACAAGAGTTAACAAATCACGCAATGCAACCCAGGGTGGTACAACCAACCCAGCTCTGAAACAAAAAGCTACAAGGCCAATTCATGAGTTCAAATAAATAGACGCAACATCACAAGCAGTACAAGAGACACAAGGCAAGTCTATATAGAGTGAGGAATTGCCTGAATCTATCCAGGCTTCGTACAGATCCGATAAAGTGCCTTGGTGAAAATATCAGGTGTGTTGGCCTCTGAGGCTATTGAAACCACGTGTGCTTGACCGCGCTATTGCAACACACGCAGGAGCAAGTGCCGCAGTTGGACGTGCTTTGTTGTGCCCTCCAGCCGAGGCTCCAACAGAATAGGATCTTGACCTTGTTGTCAGCGAACAAGACCGGGGCAGAATGACGCGGCTCATTCAAGTTTGTGCGCAAGAAAGTCAGCCTGCCGAGCTCTTGCATAGCCATAGTTTCAGCATAGATCTCTTCCTTTTAGTTGGACTACTCTACAAACGACGCCCGAGTAGACCTGCACATAACAGCTTCTATGTTAAGGTTGAATGAGTAGTCATGTGAGCAAGTCTATATGTGGTCGGGCCAAGAAGTTTCGTTGTGCCCAGTAAGTTGCACTGGCTGTCGCCCTTTAAGCACAAGCTGCCTGATGTGCTCGCTAGGTTCTTCGCTATCTTTTAGCAGTCGTCCAATAAATGGGACGATGTCTCTTAGTCGCAACAAAGAAAGCAAGAATGCCAGAAGGATATAGGTGAGGTATGGCAGAGTGCAAGTCGTCAAGTACTTGAGACAATCCTCAAGCTCTGGGTACTGATCATTAGGGTCAACTGGTGCGCCAAGAACGAGTTCGTGTTCAGCGCGGGGATTCGACGAACACATTTGTGTTCGTCGACGAATTGACCCGCGACCGTTTTTTAGGATGTGGGTCTTTGTGTTTAACCTTCTTTTTTGAGGCCAGACAGTGCGCGACCTTAGCGCCAGCCCTTTAAAGCCCACTAGCACCCTTACCTAGGAGTGATACGAGCATCAATACTCCATCATATAACGTTTCCTGACATCCTGCCGTCATATATGCGTGGATATAGCATTTCGCCATCGGATCTGAGCGGATCCGACATTCTGCCGTCATATATGCGTGGATATGGCATTTCGCCGTCAGATGTGCGCGGATCTAGCATTTCACCGTCAAATCAGATGGCAGGAGGGAGGGGGGAGGGGGGGGGGGGAGGGGGGAGGAGGGGGGGGAGGGGGGGGGGGGGGGGGGGGGGGGGGGGGGGGGGGGGGGGGGGGAGGTTGTTATGCGTGTCATTTGGGGTGAATCCGCCGAGTTGAAATTGGAGGCCGTGACTTCGGCTCGCAAATGTTTGCAGTTTTGTTGGCGCAATTGAGTAATATATCGGGCTGCCCAAAATCAAGATAAAGCAGCGTCAAGCGCCAAAATATATCGTTTTGACGCTTGAAGCTGACCTGGTTGATTGAGCGTCAAATCCATCATAGCCTAGACCCATCTTGTCAATCTTTATGCCCTGTCATGTTGCTTAACCCTCTATTTTTTGTCTATCCATCCCAGAATACATTGTTCGCACTCTCTTTCTCGCTTCCTTCATCTCTTGGCGCCTTTTCTATTCCCACTTCTCGTGCAGCACCTGCCATCATCGCACCTCCAGAAGCAATGCCCACTATGTTTCTGTCATACTTCAGCTGGTGCTTTAGAGATGTCAACTATGGGTTCAGTTACTCATATCTACTGTTCGTTTCCATGCAAACTTGAATGCCCACTAACACAGAGGCTTCGAGTCGAATCAACTCAAAGGGTCAATTCCCAGTGAAATTAGCAAGCTCACGGCCTTGGACGAATTGTAAGACCTCCACTTTGTTGTGCGCTCCTATCACGCCTCTTCGCTGGACTCTTCCTCCCTCCTGACCTCTAGAAGTAGTCATGATAAATTGAGGCGAGTTTTGGCTCGACTCAAGGGCCAACAATCTTATCTACATGGATTCTAGTTCTCAATTTCCCCCTCCTCCCTCTCATACAATTTCCCCAGTCAATCGATTTCCGCCCATCACCACCCCCCCCCCCCCCCCCCCCCCCCCCTTCCTCTCCTCCCTCCCCCCCTTCCCTCGGCACTCAATTCCGACTGTCACGCAAATCCCCCCAATCACTCAATCTCCGCCTGTCACGTGAATCCCCCCCCATCTCTCAATTTCAGCCCTGTCAGTCGATTTCCAACGTCACTCAATGTTGGGTGCACACCAAGTCACCTGTGCTGGAGGGGAAGGGGAAAAATCCTGGCCTTCCTACCTTGCATGCCGACTAGGAATCGCGACTTAAGTCTGATATTCATCTTTTTTGGGGGGCCCTTGAAAACACCTGTTTTGTGCTATTTCTAGTCTAGGGATGAGCACAAAAACGAACACCTGTTCGGTTCGCCTCGAACACGTTCGAGGCGAACCGAACATGTTATTGTTTTGGCAAAAAATGTTTGTTACGAACGTGTTCGATGTTCGCTTTCATCACATGGCCAATCCGCGTCGAACACGAACGTGTTCGAACCAAAGAGGTTCGAGGTTCGAAAGGGTCAAATTTGAACCGCGAGGGGTTCGAATTAAATTAACGTCAGAAAGATTACACTCGCAACTTTCCCGTCAAAAACGGGAAAGTCGTACGTTGGCTGCCAGTTGAAGGCAGCCTGCCCTAATCTCGTGGCACAGTAGAGTAGATCGAGATGTAGATCAACTCTAGCTCACCCAATGCCTCTCTCCCCACTACCGTTCTTTCACCTCAGCTCCAATGTAGGATGTGTCAAACTCGAACTTGTTAGGTTTGGCAGTTTAGTGATGCTGTCCATAAACCATTAGAGATGCATGTGTTGTAGATTAACATGTGCATCATTTTAAACCTCAAACCTGAAAAGGTTCGAGTTCGCTCAAACCTTAGAAGGTTTGAGCAAACCTTTAGGGTTCGAGCAATCCTGTTCGGTTCGGTTCGACCAATATGCAACATTCGAAAAGGTTTGCGCAAACATGTTTGAGTTTGGTTCGTGCTCATATCTACCCACTACCGCCCTTTCTTAGGAATCGTAGGACCATCTAAACTCCATGTTATAATCGTGTAAGTTACATCACCCTTCTCGAGAATGGAGGAACCTAGAAAAACTTGCGGTTTAGGGTTGGAGCATGCGTTTGAAGATCATGTGGGAGGGTCAAAGTCCCTGTACAAGGACGAACACGAACGTGTTTGTCTTGAACCGAACAGTGTTCGGTTCGTGGAGCGGCTACGTTTGTGCTAGGGCGAACGCGAACATGTTCGTGTTCGCCCCTTGCTTATCCCTACTTAATTCGAGTCAAGACTGATTCGAGAGTCGATGACTCGTGCTCGAGTCAGGCCTGACTTGACTAAGGAGTTGAGCACGAGTCAGCAGTTTTGAAAAAAAAAGACTCTGCTATGAATCCACTTGATTAGCCTCGACACAGCTCCCGACTCAATTCCTACTCAAGGTGACTTGATTCGACTCGTGACCATGTCTAACATAAAACACCCTCAAATTAGCCATGCATTTGGTATTTTGTGCTTAAAGGTTGTATATCAAGTGTATATATTGACAGCTTGGAGCTTTATTCTACCTTGTCAACGTTTCAAACCTTGAGGCAGGCAACTAGAACCTCTCAATGCTAAAAAAACCTGCTATGTACTACATGTCTGCTGTGTGGCAATTCTAACAGAAAGTTTGCTGAAAATCAACTTGTTGGCCCAATCCCTGATGGAATCAGCGCTCTTACAGGCCTGACACACCTGTAAGGCCTCTGCTATGCTATGCTGTCCTGTTTCCCCACGTCCGCACCACTAGCTATGCTCTCTTGGCCTCTAATGACCCATCTACCTAGGTTTCTCTCCTCTCTCGTCACTTACCACCACTTACCATCATGATAATAGGCCCATTCATGCAACCATAGGCGAGACTGATTGCAAGGAATTCTCTGTTTCAGGGGGTTCTAGTCCAGGCCATGGATTTCTTGCAGGCTTAATTTAGTGCCTACAAAAATCTGGTCAATCTTCTTCTGAGCCCATCAAAAGAGTTGCCACAACTGTATTTGGCAGAGACTTGTAGTACTACAAGTAAGCCTGTAAACTACGTCAGCAAATACGCTCTGGAGAGAGGGGAGGGAGGGGAGGGGGGGTGTTTGCATGCAAGTGTATGTACGCAATACGTGCAGGAAACGCAGAATTATGCTCGGGCAGTCCATGGAAATACGCTCGGGTATTTGCATGTCATCTGCAATACAATTAGATTTGCAGTGGCATTCTGTTTTCACATGTTCGATCGTAAAATAATTGTACGTAACTAGTGTTCGTTCTTGCAAACGTACATATATGCATAGCGAGCATAGTGCCCAACTAGTTTTCTATGATGAATGCGAATAGCCTTTCTCTTATCTTCTTCAGTCAGCATGTCCCTGCTTGCATTTACACTTGCAGACTTTTGTTTACCTAAGTCGCCAACTGTCCCCCTCTTCTCGTCCAGTCTGCCCCACCTCCTCTTGATCCAGTCCATCCTCCACTTCATTCCCCGTGCTTCGTGGCACCTATCATTCTCATTTTCACATTTTCACCTCCCAATCCTCTCCCATGTTATGTGTGGATGGTACACGTTGGAGGAGGGAAGGTACACCTCTCTCCCTCCTCACATCTCCTACCCCCATCTATCTTCTATAATTGTCTGCAGACATTGCAAAAGATTGAACCCGTTTTTTTCCTGAAATGGATTGCATGGATGATTCATTTTTATTGTTACAGGGATTTTGAGGAAAATCAGTTAATTGGCTCAATTCCATCTGGAATCAGCAATCTGAAAAAACTACAAGATTTGTAAGACCTCCCCACTTTACTGTTCTGCTTTCTTCTACACCCCTCTTTGATTTATTGTGCATTACTGTACTGATTGTGATGCTTTAAACCTTTTTATCCTCTTGCGGCTAGTCCTCCGTCCCCTGATTACTTTTGTGCACTGATCCGGATTGTAAGAGAATGGGACTTCAGGGTTGATATTAAGAGATAGGCAAAGGAGTGAAGTTGACTCGAAATCGAAATGAGTCGAGTCAGAATTGGACTTGACTCGAGTCATGCTCGTCAATTTAGGGCAATTTGACTCAGTCTCTCTCCTGACTCCTCTTTTTGCCTCAAGTCATGTCCAACTTCAGTCAAAAATTGCATAATTTTGCTCGACCGGGGGTTGTGACGTTTCTAGTCAGTTCATGGGGTATGTAAAACCTCAGTCAACAGTTACTACAAGCTACAGTGAATTGCTTTTCAATAAGATACATGCGAGTTGCTTGGCAGTGCCCTAAAGCTAGTTGCAAAAGCCTTGTAGGAACGTTCTAAATTCAATGCTTGGCACCAAAGGGAAAATAAAAAAGAACCTGAAGTGGATTGTTTAGCACCAAGCAAGTATGGATGAGCAAAGGTGAACCCGAACAGGTTTGCCTCTAACAGTTGAAACATCCTTGAAGCCCGAACGCAAACATATTCAGTCCTGTGATTTTTATTTTTATTTTTCCCTAAGAGGGAGGTCAATGGTTAAACCTCTTAATGTCTGAGTCGAAGATGTTCGACTTCGGTCTGGCTTCTGAAGTTTCAATATAGTCACAATTGTTTTGCTCGTTTTGTTTCTCTTTTTTCGAATTTCATAAAAACACCCAATTGGGAAATCCACATTCTAGCAGTCTGCCCTTACAGTAAAAAACCGTGGGATGAATGTGAGGCTGGTTTTTGTAGGAACGAAGTTTTGCTTGGGAGGTGCCGACCCTATTCTCTAAATATGACGTTTGCAGGTGCCAATGCAAACACTTTGATGTTAGAGTCAAGCTTTTGGGGAAACAAAAATGAGGTCGAACCAACCAGGAGTTAAATACTATGCTCAACCCGAAAAGCCCAAACGGCCTAATGCTTGTCGCTAAGGTGAGAATCGAGTTGGAAGGTGCTCGAACTCGAGGTTTTCACCATATGCAATTTAAAGCGAATACCTGAGGCATCCCTGCCCTCCAATACACCGAATACAAGGAATGCTGTCATTGAATACCAAGTTTTCTCCCACAAATTTCACCCAGTGGCGATCGACTGCCCACTTATAACAGAGTTCGGGGCTCTGTTAGGGAAGAACCTGTGAAACTACAAGTGCTCGCACACTTCAATAATGCGACCATGTCAACACGTACGGTTAATTCGTACGCAACTCTCAGCCAATTGAAGTGGAAGCTGTGGTTCTGCCAATCTTGACATGCCCTAATAACACTCTTGGGAGACAGAACTGCAAATTAGATTCACCAAGTTGGTAACATTCACAGGTACACAGATCGTTGACTAACTTACATGATTTTTATGCTAGAGGTGACCACACATCCTAGACCTTGAGATTATGACTGAACTTAGCGTGGAACTTGCTATTCACTCAGAAGACACCGGCCGTGTACAAAGCAGTTCTGCACTTGCAATTCGTTAGGCAGATTTCTTGGCGAAGACTTACGTGGTTTGCTGCTGATTCAACAAGACTCCAATTGCTTCTTCAACTCACTAACCACACCGCACAACAAGCAATCATTTTCTGATCCCGCCATGGATGTTGAAGGCGCTTCGAACGTGGCTCCAGCTCCTGCTATGAGCTCCGGAAGATCGAAGTCAAGGGCTTCATAGCGGATTTTAAGTCACTCCTGAAGGTGAAGTCCAAGCTCTAGAGGATGAGGAGTCTCGATGAGCAAGGCATGATACTTTAGCTTATCCGCACCAAGCCTGCTGAGTTACAGATAAAGTACCCAAGCTTTTGGGAATAGTTTGTTGCAATGATTGCTGTAGTTTACCTGGAAAAGAAGAAACACATTCAATCGGACTTATATACGTCCAAGGAGTTGGAGGTTAAAGAGTTTCAAATTTGCATGTGATAACTCTGGCGACAAAGCTTGAAGGTTGTCTGCAAAGACTTTCAGCCAATTCAGATCAGGTGGTGTCTGACGCTACCAAGGAAAAATACATGGAGATCAAGAGTGCGTGCATCAATAAGGTGCGGTATGACATAGCTATCGCCAAGAATGAAATTGTCGTTCATGAATTGGAATGACAGAAGAGCCTTGAAGCTGAAGGGCTGAAGGAAGTTGCTGCAGCCAAGGAGTTTGAAAGCATGGTTGCGGATTCAGCGATTGACGAGCGGCAAGGAGAGGGGCGGCGGTCCCGATAAAAGGTCGCCAAACAAGAAGTAACGGCGCACGATCTCGCATTCCGCTGGTTTGGCCGCATGACAGCTCGACAAGTGATGTCACGCATACGAACAGCAGAGTGCACGAGAAGAGGTGGATCTAGGGGTGAGCAAAGCAACGAACACGTTCGAGGCGAACCGAACAGGTTATGATTTTTAGCTGAAATCGTTCGCTCGAACCTGTTTACTGTTCGGCCGAACACGTTCGTGTTCGTGGTGCTGCTGCATAACGCCCCGTGTCGAACGCGAACGTGTTCGAGGTTCGGGCGAACACGCCTTCACAGGCGAACGGCGAACACCCTTTTTTGGGGAAGTTCATGTTCGTGCAAAGGCGAATGGCCATGTTCGTGCAAAGGCGAACGCGAACATGTTCGCGTCCGCCCTTTGCTCACCCCTAGGTGGATCTACAGTGTGCAAGCAACCAAGTGATTGGCGTGGGCACCTGTTAGTTAATGCGGGTTAGACTTAGTTGTTGCGTGTGTTTAGGGATTCGAGGCGAACCGAACAGGATTTTCTTTTTGGCAAATAATGTTCGTGGCGAACATGTTCGGTGTTTGCCCGAACACGTTCGGTGTTCGTCTCGCCGCGGGTGCCCGAGCCGCGACGAACACGAACACGCTCGTGTTCGTTTCGGGGCGAAAACGAACTCGAATGTGTTTGTCGCGACTGTCCCGCGATCTACACTTTAGGTTGCGGGACATTCTGTTTGTTTGAGCTCAAACTTAGTCGCGATACTCAGTAGCAGCCGTTACTACCACGCCCTCCACTGATCACGTGTGCTAGTCAAAGTTTTGGAGAATGAGTTTGTCGACCCTGGGAAAACCCCCGTGATTATAGACAAACGTGTGCATGTAAACGAAGCAAACATGCAATCTGGAAAAGAACATCCCTGCCTTATAAATCCCTGGTCAATGCCTTGCACACTCCATTTTAACTCTTAAGCCTTGCTTGATGTTTCTCCATCCTTTCACAAGCGCAGGAATCTGGGAAGCAATCAGCTTAATGGCTCCATTCCTGCACCACTTAGCGTGTTCACAGCACTAAACTGGTTGTATGTGCCTATCTCTTTTCCTGCTGCTTCTGCATCTGGTGGTCAAGGGACATATTTTACATCTCAGCAGAAGATCGGTGTCAATGTGCAGTGCACAATGAATGAACAGTGTGTTGATGTTTTGCGACCAGATTTTAATGCATTAGAAACTCCTATTTCCTTTCATCCTCATGCGTGTCGCACTTCCTCTCGTTTCCATTTCAACCTCCACTTCATTTCTCGTGCTTCTTGAAGAATCTCATTTCCACTTTCACAATTCTATACTTTCATTGCCTAGAATTGCTTCTCCTCCCACCCTCTGTGTGACTGGAACACCTTGAAGGCGACCACCCCCCTCCCTCCTCACAACTCCCACCCCCATTTGTCTCTTGCGGCTGCGACTGTCTCAACTCATGGCAATTGCATGATCCTTTTCCTGCTGATATTAATTGCAGGTTCGTGTTCATTCACACACAAACTGTAATGCCAATCACCTCACTGGCTCGCTCAATCTCAACTGGAATCGTCTTTCTGAAAGACCATCCTGTCGAGGTGGTCTCTGGTCAATGCCTTTTACACTCCACCACCCTAATTCTTATGCCTTGCAGGCGTCTGGATAACAATCAGTTCAACGGCTCCATTCCTGCTACCCTCAGCTTATTAAAAGGATTGGAGGCCTTGTACGGGCCTATCTATTGTCCTGCTGTTTCTGCATTTGATGGTCAAGACACGTGTTTTCCATTTCAGCAAAGGGCGTTGTTTTTTGTAGTGTGTGCGCCGTGAATTTTGTGTTGCGCCAAAAACATCGCACCTTTTTCATGCTCTTGGTTCTAACTCCTGTATTTCGTTCGCTTCTCCTTCGTGTCTTATTTTTCTTGTTGCCAGCCTCTTTGGTTCTCTATTTGCAGAGGTTCCCTCTTGATATGCTCTTACCTTTCCTGCAGATTTTTGAGCCGCAACAAGTTCACTGGAAATATTTATTTCAGTTTGCGCCTGACTCATCTGAGGTTCCTGTAATGCGTCTCCCCACTTATCCTCTCAAGTGCATTTGCATCCCTTGTTTGCTTTTCGAAAATAATGCAGAGATAATCCACATTCTGCGTGAGGCTTTTTGTTTCCGCAAAATGATATTTTTCCGCAGAAAAGATCGGCCCAATTACCTATCTGAAATGTTCTGTTCGGTTCGGCCTTGCAAAAGTCGATCAGCGCCGAACATTGCATGCTTGAATTGTTGATAAGATTGAGAGGCAAAATTGCAAAGGTTCATCTTGACACCCACATAGCTTTAAGTAGCACACACAGCAACTTACCCTATTCCATACCGAAAAGGTTCCCGTGCTATTTCCATAGATTGATTTCCGTATATTGACCTGTTCTTGTTTCGTTCAAGGCTAAACGCGAACTTCTGTTCAGAATTTCCTTCTAACCAACATTGAAGTCCTTTGTTGCCTGGCTAAGGACCTTAACATGCACCTCCTAGGCTAAACCGCCATTTCTTTAAATCAAACCTCAGCCCAGAACTACAAAAAACATGTGGGATGGACTATGAAACCCGTATCAAACTCGAACATGTTGGAGTCAAACATGCACGTGTTTAACCGGAACCTTAGGTTGTTCGGCTTTTATACTCAAACATTGAACATCCATTAACACAAAGAACGTCCGAACTGAACAAAACATGTTCATTTCAGAGCGGTAAACTGAAAAGCAGCTGGAAGAGGAGTAGAGACCGGCTTAGCCTGGGACGTGTTGAGCTCTTGGAGGATGGACTGGATATAAAAGGAGAAAGAGTGAAAGGAAGAGCCTTCTGCCCTCTGCCCTTTGCCGTCTGCCCTTGCCCTTCTCCCTTTGCCAGAGCGGGTATAAAAGGACCTGGTTCATCTTCCTATAGCTCGTTATTAGGTTGTGCCTGTAGCCTTCGGCCGTGGGACAACAACCGACGAAAGGAAATCAGTGACAGGATGCACAGTACAAGCATGCATGGTGGCATGAACTTTCAAGCAACATGCTAAACATCTACACGAGGAGGGGGGGCCCTACACCATGCACTCCGCCCCCAGCTAACTACGATCCCGCCAACGGTCCACCACTTGTGGTGGGTCACAGCAGCAGCCCCCCAACAGCGTCCACAGTTGTCCTGTCCCACCGTAGCTGGTAACTCATCCACGGGTGACGGCGGGGCAGCAGCGCCTCCCCTCCCTGCACAGGCACTGCCTAAAAAGGCGCAGCAATGCAGCCCAGCTCTTCTGCCGCCAGAACGCAGGCAGCTCGCGGCCTTTGACCAATGATGCTCCCGGAAGTTACCATCATGGCCTGGTGTGAGCTCTCCTGGATCACCTGCATTACCTGCTGACATTCCGTCTACAGCCACAGTTGCCCCAGGGACCCCAGAGAGATTGTCGCCTGCCCCGTGGCAGCCACAGCAGTGTGACGACCCGGCAGAGACGGCACGACAAGCTGACAAGTGGTACGGAGTTCGGTGAGTGTGCGGGACGGCTGGTTGCCACGCATGGTGCGGGGAGGAACAAACAAAACCGTCCCCGCTGCCTGCCTGACCCCACAAACCCTGCCTCCGCTACGGAGCCGACCATGGAGGCAGTCGCAGGAGTAGCAGTGGCGACGGGGTCCCGGATGAGCTGCAGCTGCAGTAGATGAGAGGAGAGCAGGAAGGTGGATGAAGGGATAAGAGTCAAGAAAGAAGGAAGAGTGAGAGAAGAGGAGGAGGAGGGTGAATCGGGGTGAGTGAGGAGGACGGAGCAGCCAGAGTGGAGGGCGCGCCCATGTGCAGGTGATGGCGCACAGGTGGTGGGTGGGAGGCAGTCACCCACAGGGGAGGTTGCGAGGATAAGGAGGAGGAGGGGCATGACAAATAGAGAAGCTCGCGGGCGTGGTGAGCAGGAGGGGCACGACAATTAGGGGAGGTCGTGTGGGTGGTAGGGAGGTTGTGCAGGTGAGCAGCAGAGGCACAACGTTTTGAGGAGGCCGCGCAAGTGATTGTTAGGAGGCGCGCTGGTCTTAGAGAGGGAATACGATAGGTAGTTTACTAAGGTGAACAGGAAAATGGTTGCCTTGAACTTTGCGGTGATACCATGTTTAAACGCAGAGCTTAGGAGCCATAGGTGAGGAGAATAGATTGTCAGGTAGGAGAGGGAACAAGGATATAGAGTAGGATGGGTGAAATCCCAGCCGAACCTACGGCATGTTTGGTTTCATAAACAAGGAAATGAACGTAATTTGAAACTGAGATGAAACCTAGCCTAATGGTGGCCGCAACATGATTGTAAGGCCAGTAAAAATTCCGGAGCGGAAACTAGCCTGCTCCAACCGAAACTTCTCATGGCGAACATGATTCGGTTCGCCCTTTGACCGAGTCAAGCACTGGAACAATGCATGTGCGAGTGAGTTATGTGTCCTGGACATGAAGCCATCATAACATGTCATGTTCTTGCGTGCACCAATTTGCATTCTCGAGCTTCCTATTCGTGTTGTTTTCAGGGGTCTCAACAACAACCTCTTCAGTGGATCCATTCCTTCTGTCGTTGGCTCCTTTCGCGATCTAGTATTCTTGTGAGGCCTCTACTTGGTTTTCAACCTTTGTGCTTTCATTTTCCACGTTCTTTGTAAATCAGGGGAGAGGAGGAAACGTACGAGGCACGGTATTCTTGGGGAGGCGGCGGGAGTGAGGCGGGGGAGAGGGGGGGGGACGGGGCATGTAGTCCAACATTCAGAAATGAGCTTAGGGTTTAGATAGAGCAATAAATAGCATGGGTAAAGAAGACGTGAACGCGGGAGACATATGATACCTTCCATAGTTAAAGCTCCCCCGTCGTCCTTATTCCCCGTTAATGGTCATTGCTTCGATATAAGAAGATATGTTTCATGTTTTAGTTTAAGCACTGCTCCTGACATGTTTAAGCCCCCATTCCCTGATCCACTTGCTCACTTCCTGCCTTATTCTCTCATCTGCTTTCCTCCTCTTTCCATTCGCCCACCAAATTGTCACCCTTGTCATATTCGTTTTCACGCTTATCCTCACCTGTAATTAAGACCTACCTCCGCTCCTCGTCTTCTTCCTCTTGCATTGGTGTCCGTACTTTTTACTTTATCATCTGTCATTTTCAAAGTTCCTTACATCTTTATTCCAGTACTCCCCTTTTGTCAACTCTTTCCTGCACCCATGGTTTTATACTGACTACTGCCTGTCCCTCCCAACTCTCTCAAACCCTGTTTTCCCTCTGTATTTGGACTAATCCCTCTGTTTTTCATGAGTTCTTCTTCCTTCCCGTCGCCTCCCCTTGATACAATAACCTATTCTGGTCATGCGCCTCCTACCCAACACCTGCATGCCAACCCGTGTGCCACCACCTGTACATGGCATGAGCATGAAGGCGAACCCGGATCGGCCTAGGTCGGGATGGTTCGACTGTTACTCGCGCTGGCTTAAATCATGTACCTGTAGGGCCGAGCCGGATTCACTTTTGGCCTTGGCCAGTCGGTCAGACCAGCCTACCTCGAGTCGCTGCCCGACCTGGGCCTAATTGCCCACATAGGACCCTTGCGGCGTCTGTCACAGTGGACCATTCGGGCCGGCAACTATCAAGCTGACTGGTTTATTGCTTCTTATGATGGTTTGAGCACCCATTCCAGCAAGGGACCAGAATATGTCAAGCTTTGGACAGCGCACGCTTCTGAATCCGGACGCTGCGTTTTTGTTTTCCTGTTCATCCTAAGGGAAAAACATCAACGCGGTAGAGTGCAATTTCTGAGTTTGTCGCAAATTTTAGCACGTCAAAATCGAATGGCCTCTCGCACACCCCCAACAATTTTGCCATGAGCAAGCTCTCCAAGCATTATTATTTCATACTTCCCTGCCAGCACACATCCAATCAAATATGAGAATTGGACAAAGGTTGATAAGTCACCCTCTAGTAGTCGACCTTTCAATTTTCTTCATTCAAAAGTAGTCTCCCCATTTCCGCTCTACTTGGACAGTCTATTTTGTGCCCAAAGGTTTCTCATGTAAAACCTTTTGGTTGTTACTTGTGACCGCCGTCATGATGTTTGACTCAAGCCTACAAATCTAAGGTGCAAGTCCTGTTGTAAACTTGGAAACTTGCAAAAAGTTCGACCAAACCTTGGCCCATACGCCAAACCGGGGCCGAGGAATGGCTCAGCCACCCCTGGGGCAAACCCGGTTTGGCATGTGTTCATTCCTAACTGTACATGGGCTCACCCTTGGCTCCGATGCTCCATCCGCTTCACTCACCCCTCTTCACTCTCCTCTTCTCCCAACCCGTTTTCTGCTTCTCACCCCTTCCTTCACATCTGTTGTTGCTGGTTGCTAGTTGCTGTTTCCTAGTTACTGCTGCATCCCAGCCTATTCCTCGTATTTCTCCCCCCACCGGCGCAGCAGCAGTTTATCCTGAACCTATCTCTCCTCTTATTTCTCCTCCCACTTGCTCAGCAGCAGCTCACCTCGAACCTATTCCTCACCATTTACCTCGACAATATTTCTCCCCCTCATAATCTCCCCCTATTTGGCCAACAACTGTGTCTCCTTATGGTTTTGGCGGTTTCTTTAGTCTTTCTTGCATCCTCTCCTGTTCTTTCAGCTTGCCACCACCACCCCCCCACCCCACCCCCTCCCTCCCCCCTCCCCCTTTTCACCCCACAGTGTATTACAGTTCAAGAAGCTCCAACCTCTAGCACATCACTCAGCAGAGCGGACCTGATGCCATCCCCGCCCCTCCTCTTGTTGCTCCTGCCCCTCCCTCCCTCCATGAAGGATTCCGAGCGTGTTGCTGCTTCAGCTCAAGCAGCTATTCCTGGCAACAAAACTGCTAGCGACCTCCCGCACGTCCTTGCGACGTCCCTTGCAGGAGCTCGCAAGGACCTTGCTGACTACCTCGCTGCCTGCCCTCCTCCTTCTGCCCTCCCCTGCACCTAGGCTGATACTCGTGTTGATTGGCATGTCTCCAGTGTCAGGTCGCCTCGTCTGCCACTCTGAATGCTCGCACACGTGCTTTGCCAAAGACCTCCTTGGCTACCTCAATGCGCGCCTCCAGCGACAGACTCCCATCAGCGTTATTGCGTCATGCAAAGCTGATCGCCATCCCCTTTAACGAATCTCCTACCACGAATGACTACACCACATACATATCCTGCGATGTCCTCTCAGCTTGCTGCTCAGCAGTCCAAGCCCTACAACCACGTCTACGTTGCCCTCCTTGTTAAGTTTAATATCAAATTACCCTCTATGTTGGTGCGTCTACCATCTTTCTATCTCTCTGGCTTTCTATATCCCGTCCACCCCCAGCAGTTCGATATTTATCAGGTGTTCTCTAGTCCTCTTGCGGCTAACCATTCAACTCACGACAAACATTTTTGTGTAATTGATGTTAGGTTCAGGTTACAAAGGTCCATGTTTGGTATGGATTCCATACAGAAGACAGTTTCCGTGATTGACATGGGAAGTTCCTGGGCATGGCAGAATGGATTAAGTTGCTCTGTGTGCTATTCAAAGTCGTGTGGGTGTCATGATAAACCTTTGCATGTTAGCCTCAAACATTTCAACAAGACGACACGCAATGTTGGGTGACGCTTAACTTTGGCAGGCCAAATCGACCAAACAGTTCGACCCGAAGACCAGAATATGTTCAGGTCAAACTTATGCAGAACAAAATTCCAGTGCCCTGCTACATAATGTGGATTCTCACAGTTCTTTCCTTGAATAACAAGCAAGAAACGCAGTGAGATGACAATCAGGGAGAAGGCATTACAGATACATTAAATTGGTGAGGGCCAAACTGAAAGAAATATTTCCACTGAACTTGTTGCTATGCAGAACTCTGCAGTTAGGAACAAATGCAAGAGAGCGGACCACGAGAAAGTCTTAGCAGATGGAGAGAAGGGAAGAAGAATGCGGAAAGAGCTAAGAGAACCAAAGAAAGAAATAGCAGTTTTTTAATGCATATAAACATGTTCTGCTGAAATGAAAATAATGTCTATGTCAACCATTACATGCAGAAAAAACAGGACAGGAGAAGGCCCATACAAGTAGCGCAATTTTGTTAGCAAGGTGATGGTAGCAGGAATGGAGCCGTCGAGCTGATTGCTATCCAGCCACCTGCACGTATGAAACGTGAAGGAACACCAAGCAAGGCATGAGAGTCTGTATGATGGAGTGTGCCAGGCATTGACTAGGGATCAGTCCGATTCCAGATGGGATTGATCATGAGATGCCTGATTTGCATCAGAATCTGTGTGAGGAATCAGCCAAGCAATCAATGTCAGCACGAAAAGGTTCATGCCACTGTCATCTGTGGAGACGGTCGCAGGAAATAGGCAGGGGGGGAGTTGTGTGGAGCGAGGGAGGTGTTTCTCACCTTTTCCAAGGTACACCATACCATCCGCACTTAGAATGGGAGAGGAAGGGGCAGAGGAAAGTGGTAGGTAACACGAGTACAGAAATGCCAAAGTGGAAACGAGAAAAGCCAGATAGACTGAGGAATTATGTGGAGGTATGTAAGGGTACGAGATTAAGTCAGGCATTCATGAGAAGGAATCAGGGATGTTCAATAACTGAACACGGTGTGCTTCTCTGGGCACAAAACATCAACAAGCTGTTCATTGTGCAGAGGCACATAGATACCACTCTTATGCTGAAATAAAAAAGTGATAGGGCACATACAACGATTTTAATCCTGTTAACAAGCTGAGCGTAGCAGGAATGGAGCCGTTGAGCAGATTTTTACCCAAAAACCTGCGCATGTGAAAAGATGACACAAAGCAAATTATTGCATTGGCATCGACCACTGGTTTAGGGAAAACCCGCCTCTTGTGAAATCAGCCGTAGTGAGCCAAATTTTGCATGGTTAGTCCTTTCCAGCTCGCGGTGCTGTTTTGCAATCGGCGAGTCGGAAGCAAATCTCATTACGAACGTAAGGGGGGAGCGGGGAAGAGAGGGGAAATACGGATTTGCAATCATGCAGTTCAAGCATTATGTTTTTTCTTTACATTAGGTTGGTTTAGACCGTCTGTAAAATATTGTTTAAAAGCAATGTCTATGTTGACTCGCCCATGGTCCCACTTAAGCAACTCGCTGAGAAACTCTGTTGAAGCCGTGGTGGACAATCTGGTGCTGCACTAGCCGGCAGACGCTCGGTCTCAACTAGGGTTGAGCACGGGCCAGGCCGGGCCCATACAAAATCCGGGCCGGGCCAGGCCCGGCCCGACCCGGGCCAAATGACAAAGACCCTAGCCCGAGCCCGACCATTTTGTACTTGGGCTAGGGTGGCCGGGCCGGCCCTGGGCCGACAGCGAAATTTCGAGGCCCGGCCCGGGCCCATTTTTTTGCTCAACCCTAGTCTCAACCATGTCTCCTCTGAACGTGGCCTACCTTGGAGACATCCTTGTTGAGGATTGCTCTAACATATCACCAAGTATTCAGCATGGACATTAAATACGTCCGTAAGCTTAGGTCCTTACCTTCAGACTGAGAACTTGAGGGTTCAACGTCCAACATTTGACTTTCCCCTTCTTGTGCTTTGCTCACCATGAACTATCCATAATTAAACACATTCATCCACAATAATGTGTGGTCACAGCTAGTGTTAGCCAAAAAGGGCGAGCTGAATGGAGTCGGCTTGGGCCAATTTGAACATGTCGAGTCAACCAGAAACGATTATCAAACTTGGCACGAGCTGAGTGGAGTCGACTTAATAATGGGCGATGCATCGTCAACTTGACTCGCCTGTAGTTGAATGGATGTTCTACATCTGAATTCTTCATTATTCAGAACCACTTTCTGATTCTTTTTAGCTCCAATCTTGGGAAAACTCAAAACACTCTCTGGCACCGGCAGCCAAGCAAAAAAAATCAATGGTTTCTTAGTGTCAAGCAACCTGCGTCATTTTTCCCTTGACGCCAAGCGATCGAGCAGTTTGTTTTAGGCCATGTTTGAGATTGGTGATGAGCATGATTATGATCTCGTATCCGTTGTGCACCAAGTACGCCCAAATGGGTAGTTCCTCGTTTCTATACTTATAAGTTGAGTGTTCAACTTCCAGCACTGCACTTTTTCCTCTCATATTATGCTTGCTGTGGACCAAGCATGTCTCAAAAGGTAGTTCCTCACCTTCCGTCCTAGAGGTGTGGGTTCAACTCCCAGTACCTGAACTTTCCCCACTCATATTATTCTCACCATGACAAGTCCATATTCCACCACACTCACCCACAATGTAGTGTGGTCACAGTTCGCAATGCCACCTGTCCAGTCGTTCCATGCTCACCTTGCTGACCGACCCCTATATTGTGTCATATGCTGCAATGTAAACTGTGCAACGTGAGCCCTAACAGCCTACATAGCCAACGATGCCCTCATTTTTGAGATGTTTCATCAAGCCTCAAGAGTTAAGTCACATATATATGGATTCACCTCTTACACTAAAACCATCCATGGACAAGGACATTGCTCTAGTCTTTAACGGCTTGTAGCATCTTTCTGCTTCTCACTGTGCCATAAAGTTCACTGATCCTTTTTCTACTTACGGAGCTATCCGCGTCAGGATATTTCTCATTGTTCACCTTAGCGCCAAGCATTCAATCTAGGGCGTTCCTACATTTGCTTCTGCATTTCACTTTAAAGCGCCACCCAAGCGCTTCTATCTTAGAATCACACAATTCATTGCAACGTGCAGTACCTGTTGACATGAAGTTTACATTCTCCCCATAAACTGACTAGAAAAACCACAGCTCGAGGTTGAGCCACCTCTGACTTGCAAGTCGCAGTCTTCGACTCGATCGGACCCCACTCAAGCCAAAAAGCCGAGTCATGAGTCCGGTTGAGTCAAATTTTGCATTAAATTGACGAGCATGACTCGAGTCGAGTCCAAGTCTGACAAACATGAATCGATCTCAAGTCCTTCCGATCACCCCTTCACTCATCTCGGTCACTTTTCTCGTTTCTAACATCAAACATAAAGTTTTTTTTTTCTTACAATCCGAATTGAGTGCCACAGAAATAACATGTACCAAAAGAAGATGGGACGGAGGACTTGAAACGAGAGGACAAAAACGGAAGATGCGTTGCAATCAAGTATGGGACAGACAGTAGTGACACAGTAAATCATAGTGGAGAGGGGGTAATAGAAAGATGAATACTGTAGAGCAGGGGTCTTACAATTCTTTCAGATTTCTCAGATTGCCGATTCCAGATGGAATCACACCAGTGATCTGGTTGTCCTCAAAACTTCTGTAGTGATGAACCACGAATCATCCATGCATTTTATACCAGCAATGTGCGCAGACAAGTGTAGGAGATAGACGGGGTTAGGAGACGTGAGGAAGAGGGGAGTTCTTCCTCTCCTCTATGCTAACGCAAACATGGAAAATATGGAACTGAAAATAATACTCGCCAGGAAACGAAAGAAGGTGTCGCAGACTGAAAAAGAAAAGGGGACTATGGTGTTACAGGATGACTGCTCTGTAGACATGAGCAAGCTACTCAACCGACACAGAACAATTTTATTGGCTTAATTTACAATCCGGCTCACTAGCGAACCAATCTGGTTCATGACAAACCTTTTTTTCCGGGGGGGGGTTCTTGGTTAGGATATTAGCATTCAGAATAAGTGTCGCTCTATTTGCGTATTGTGCCATTTCCCCCTTCCCCCGCAATCCCCTTCCCATCTCTCCCCCATCCTCCCCTCCTGAGCCACCCTAAATTCTATGCGCCCAGATTGCGGTAGTAGATGGTAGCAGCAGCAGGAGGGGAGCTGACATATAAGCTGTATCAATGACATGCATCCAAACTTCAAACCATACACGTTCGTTCCTCCTCCCCTCCATCCCCCCCTTTTTCTTCTCCCCTGCACCCAGTGTGCGGCAGTGGATGGCGCAGGGGCAGCAGGGGGGGGAGGAGCAGGATCCGATTGACTCTTTTCCAGACCCGCACGAGGTGGGGAGGGGAAGGTAGGAAGAAGAGAGCGGAGAGAGAGAAGGGTGGAAGGTTATCATTGAGCTGGCTCAAACGAAGCATGGGTGGAGGGGGAGCAGCAGCAGAGGAGGAGGATCCGTTGAATCTTTCCCAGACCCGCACGAGGTGAGGAGGAGGGTGGAGGATAACGGTGGAAGGGGTTGAATTGTGCACATGTTCATGTTCATCATGTGCTCATCCCTGCCTCATGCTACGATCCAACCTCATGCTTAGTGTTTCTGCTATCTAATGTTAGGAGGAAGGGGGAAAGGCAAACTTACATAAAAGAATGTTGGTGCTCGAAACGTGCTCTAAAGCTCTCTGCCTTTGGGGGTTAGAACGGACCGATTAGTGGGGTGATAACAAACCACGGCTGGTTCAGGTTGAGCAAATGGCCTGGCCGTGTCAGGTTGACAGAGACCGGGCTCGTGCCAGGCCAGGGCGGGTCGGGTCCAGACGGGGCGACTGGATGCTCAACCATAGGTCGGTTCCTCACGAACCGGGAAGGGCGCCGAATCAGAGTGACTCAGTTAGATTCTATGTGCGAGCCTATCAAAACAACGAACCAGTTCTTAACGGACTGGCCAGAGAGAACCATTGTGGGTAAAACCAAATGGCTCGTGACTACTGCTATGTGTTGCGTGATAATAAAGACTATATCGTAGATATGGATTACGGTCAAGAATTGTGGAAGATTTAGATCCTTAGCTCAGAGCCGGTTAGAAAGGAATGGTTGAGTACAAAGGTCTCTCAAACGCCCAAATACTTGCTGCCCAATCGAAACAAATATTTGTCGATTAAAAATTTGCCGACCAGTGTGAGTCCAATTAGATACCGGATACCATGCATTGGATCCTCATAGGCGCTGAACGAGCCTACAAAAAATCCATGACCAGGACTAGAATCCCCTGATCTGACAAGCCCTTGCAAAAGTGTCTAGCCTAAATTCCAATGGATGGGCCACCAATCAAATGAGCTATACGGCGAGGAAAGTTGATGGAAGAGGAGAGAAATCTAGGAAGAAGGGTCAATTGAGAGGCCTAAAGAGAAAATTAAGTAGTTTGGATGTGGGTGAGGGGAAACAGGACAGCACTACGAAGCAGAGGCCTTACAGGGATGTCAGCTTTGTAAGGATGCTGACTTCATCAGGGATTGAGCCATCGAATTGATTTGTACCAAAATCTCTGTTGAAATGCCACACATAGCAGTGGGGTTGAGAAAAGCCCGGTCACCAACGTGTTAGGGTCGAAGATATGGCGAAAACGTTTAGAGGGCGAACAGAAAATAAAATTACTAGGAAACGGTGGTGTGCTCGCCTCTTCATGCGAGCACTTCTGTGATCTCCAAAAACTCAAACATCTTATGGGCGAACATGTTCGTGTTCGCCTTGTGGCTGATTTTTACTAAAGTCACACTAGGCATGAACTAGTTTGATGCTAAACTCAAATGCGCATCCTATTCGAACCGAATGCATTTGGATTGGGTCGAATCATTCTTGCAGCATAGGTATTCGACTGTTTGACTATCAAGTCAAACACTTGATGGATTGGGGTAGACATGAGCAAGAACTGAACCCGAACAGTTCGACCAAACTTTCTCTACTTCGTGGCTAATGTTCGAGGTTCTCCTTCACGCATTCGAACATTTTTAGCTTGGCCAAAGTGTACAAGGTTCGGCCACACTCGAACTTAGTTAAATGAAAATGGGCATCGTTTCCGCCCCTTTTTTTTCACAAAACCTCTTGTGCGGGGTTTGAGGGGTATTTTTTGTCACATTGAAGTGCCATTTCATCGCCAATTTAACATTTTACAGGCACGCCTGGCATTTCACCGACAAGCAAGGCATTTCACCATCAAATCTGGCATTTTGCCATGCAGATCTGGCACTATCATGGTTAAAACAGCTGGTGGCCGGGATGCAGTGCTAGATCTAGACTTAAATTCTGAGAATTTAAACCAAATCCTATCCCTAATCTCGTTATGTGAAGCAGGTTCCCTGCTTAGCGCGCAGGGCACGTGTTCATTGCGAATTGTTTGACCACTTCGAAATGTTTGGGTTTGATGCTGGCGAACGAACCACAAAGTTTCAGGCGAACAGTTTGATCGGACATAAACTCAGTCCGAGCGGACAATTTTCCCTGTAATAAAGTTGGTTCGACCAATGGCCGAACCGGTTCAATCGAAATTTGATTCAGTGCTCATGTCTAGGGCGAACATTCATGTTTTTGACTTGAATAGGTTTGAGTTTGAAGGGCCCTTTGCCATAGTCACACTCACTGTGCATAGTGTACTATGAACATTCAGAACGCACGGTAAACCCTACTATTTTGAGCCTCTCACAAATTTTGCCATGAGAGGTGTTTCCTTAGCGTTTTCACCTAAGTCAGGTGACCGAACTAGGCCACAATGCCAACAACTCTGCATTTTGCAGTGTACTTGAGGGCCTTACTGGAGTAGGGGGACCTTCAAGTTCAGGAAACAATGTGTGTAACAAAAAGCAACACCTTTTTTCGTTTGTCACGAACGATTTCAAACCCAAACATATTGGTTCGACGCGGCTTGGAACTGAAGGCGAAACCGAACCAAACATGCTCGGGATGAACAGCGAAGTGGTCATCTCAAAAACCTTTTGCATTAAAAAAAAAAAAAAAAAAACAAAAAAAAAACAAACAAACAAACAAACAAACAAACAAAACAAAACAAAAACAAAAACTGTTCGGCTCGAACCAACGTGTTTGGGTCGATCCAAACAGGCGTTCAACTTTTTGCGAAAGCCTACATAGCAGGCTAGGGATGAGCAAGGGGCGAACACGAACGTGTTCGTGTTCGCCTATGCACGAACACCCCTGTTTGGCGAACCGAACACTGTTTGGTTCGGCGAACACCTTAAGCAAAAACAGGTGTTCGCCGTTCGCCTATGAAGGCGTGTTCGGGCGAACCTCGAACACTGTTTGGCGAACATTTTAAGCAAAAAAAAAAAACCTGTTCGGTTCGCCTCGAACATGTTCGAGGCGAACCGAACAGGTGTTCGTTTTGTTGCTCATCCCTATAGCAGGCCTCCATTTAGTGCCTGCCCCAGTGCACGGACAAAGGACGGAATGAAGAAGAGAGGAGATAGTAGGCATGAGCGTAAGGGGAAAAGTGGATCGGCCCAGGTCAATACAGCCCAATTTCAGCTCAAGCCGCAGAACCTCTAGATGGATTGTCGGCTCTAGTTGGACAGAACTGGTGAGGTTTGATTTTGACCGTATGGTCAAAGCTCGAACTAGGCCGGTTGGCCCCGAGCCATGGCCCGACATGAACCTCCTTCGGCCCATGTTGGAACCCTGTGACAAGCTTTTTTGCACAGTATCTGAAAAATATGTACTGAGATATGGTTCCTCTGATCCCTCTGATCTCCAAGCCCACAATATGCACTGCACTTTAATCAAGCAATATAAAACTTCATAGGCACAAAGGACCATGCATGGTAAACTGGATAGTGTTTATGTATTGCCTATTGGTCAGGGGGAAGAGCGCAGAGAAGGAACAGACTCAGGAGAACACAACAAAACAGAGGCCTTACAGATATTCCAAGAACATGAACTTGGTGATTTCACTGGGAATTGACCCTCTCAGATTATTATAAGCGAAGCTTCTGTAGTGGGGGTTCAAGACCGCATGGAAATGAACATTAGATACCAGTAAGAACTCCGGTTGGGGAAATCTTTAAACCACTGACTGAAGTATGACGAAAACATAGTGGGCATTGCCTCTGAAGAGTGGAGTGATGGCAGGTGCTGCAGGAGAAGTAGGAATTAAGATGGCGACAATCGGTGAGAGAAACGAGAAAGAGCACACAAGATCGTAGAGCGGGTACCCAGAAACGATGAGAAATATTGATGACAAGATGGGCCTAGGCATGAGCAACGTCTGGACACGACCTGAGCCAACCCATCCGCTTTGCTCAGGCTGGGACGGGTTGGGCCTGAGGGTTCGCCCGACCCGACTCAACCCGTCTCAACCTAAACGAGCGGCGCTGGCACATGTCCGCCAGGCAGACTTGCTGGCCGGCCGGTCGGTTCGGGTGGACCTGGTTGGGTCAAGAACACCGGAGGAGAGAAGCAACCCGACCCGGCTAAAACATGTGCCTTGCATTCAATGCATTGGCCAGGGAAGCCTTACTTCCATCTAATTCAAGAAGAAACTAAGAATAGACAGGTGGGGTATATAAAGGGGAGCACAACAAAACTGGCGTCTTACAAGCTAATCAGGTTAGTAAGCATGCCGATTGCAGTGGAGATTGTGCCTGTGAACTTGTTGGAAGTGAGGCGGCTGCCATAGCCAAGACATCAATTCAGGCAAGAGTTATAAGCCTGAATATAAATGAATAATATGCATATGCATGCTATAATAGGAACCAAGTGTGCGATCGACATTGATGACATGGTACAGAAGCACAATAGCAGGGTGACTGAAAAAATCTGTGCGTGTCGCGGTCTGGCATCTGTAAGTGAGGGGATGATAGAGGCCTTTTTGGCAGAGATGAGTAAGTTTCTGAAATTTGGAGGAGACAATTCACGGAGTGAGGTTGAAATGAGAGACGGGAAGATAGACGCAATGGGAAAGGGATGCAGAAGGGTGATTGAAATGCAAAGATTAAGAGTAAAATGCACTGGAAAAGAGGGAACGAACGAAGTGAAGGAATGAGGTTCATGAAAGAGCATTGGAGATCAGAGGCCTTACAGTTTGCTCAGCTTTGTGAGGGTGAAGATTTCAGATGGGATTGAGCCAGAGAGCGTACCAAACGAGAAATCACTGCAATGATGAACACAGATTGGGCATTTGATACCGGCAGAATCTCATATTCGCTGGCAACCAACGATTTGTATGAGAAAATCCTTTGAAAGACAATGTGTTCTTGCATTTCTACCTGCAGAAGCACAAGGCAACAACGGACATTCCCCCTGGAATGCACTCGGGCACTAGATGGGATAGATGGGAGTGGAACAAGCAAGATGACCCCCTTTAGGTCCGATGCGGGGCTTTTCTATGCATATAAAAGGAGGAATCGGAGACGGCTACAATAAAGGAACCAAGAGAGGGACGGAGCGAAGAAGCGAGGGATGATGTAGGAGAAAAAGAATTTACTATTACAGGAATATATATGGAACGACAGATTGTGTAGGAGGCCAGCCATTGCATGAAGGGTGGGGTAAGAATGGGAGGTTCCGTTGGGGTTTCACTGCATGTATAACACCTCGCTACCCACTTGGGTCAATACGAGGGTTATTTTTTTGTGTAGCGAAATGCCCTTTAACACAGCCCACAGGCGTTACACTCTCAGCAACTTCGCTGGTGGGGTCAGGCCAGCAGAGGACCGTTTGTTGGGTTTGCGAATGGTTCACCATTTCAGGTCTCGCTCATGGAGGACAATGTGGACCAGCCAAGAATCGAACCCTAGGCTCTGGTACCAGTATAACACCTCGCTACCCACTGGGTCAAAAGGAGGGTCTTAATTTGGCGCGGCGGAATTCCCTTCAATACAGCAGACAGGCGTCAGAGAATGAGAGAGTGGAAACAGCATGACAAGTGGGTCTTGCTTGATGGGGAGATGGTAACCACGTGGATGAATAAGAGGAACAAAGAGCAAGGGAGCCAGGATGTTACAGCTGCATTTGGCAATGGCACATAAACATCCTTGTGCACTTGAATCCTATCTGATCACGCTGTACTTGAACCTTCTTGGCTCCACTTTCGCTCTGTTTGCGGCTCACTGCACACCCCCGCAGCACAGTTGCACTTTGACAAAATCATCCCCTACTGCATTCCGATCCAACCCTTGTACTCCACTCCACGTGCCGTAGCCTCTCTCTGCGCCTTATGTGGCAGTTCAAGGATGGGAGCACGTACAGGTGAACGAGCTCCTCCAGGTTGCTGATGGAAGCCGGAATGGACCCTTCCACTTGATTGTAAACCAAAGTTCTGCACCCATGCATGCCATCACCATCAGTTGGAAAGGAGAGGTAATTCAAGAAATGGCACCAGCCGAATGACCCATGTGGTCATGTCTCAGTACAGTGTCGGTGTCGCCCCAAGATCCTAAGGCTTTCCTACTATGCGCTTAGTACTGCACGGGCGCTGTACCGTGACAGCAGACAGCACATGCCAGTATCTCACATGTACACGATCATCCCATCCTCATCGCATCCGATGCTTGTAGCGGTCTGGCATTCGGGATTCGAGCCATTCCAACCATCGTAAGTCTGATTCCATGCTGTCTGGCAGTCCTGCAGAAATTGCGCTGCAGGTTGGGAGGGGTTAGCGGGAGGAAAGAGGGGAGGGGGAAAGTGCAGGGGGGACGAGGAGAAGGGGAAGTGGAAGGAACGAGGAGTTGGAACGTGGAGAAAGGGAGTTGGAGGGGAAGGGGAAGGAACGAGGAGAGGGGTTGACGGGCGTGGAAGTGACGATGGGTGAGGAGAACGCACTAAACACTGGGGTTGGGCGACAGCATTCAGCACGCCGCGTGGCGACTCGCCATCACATCCATGAGTGTAAACGGGTCAGGCTTGCAGGCCTCACCACAGCCTCACGTCGCACCTTGCGACGTCTGCATTGGCACGGCGTGGACGATGGCGAGGGGGGTGACAAGGGCGGCGAGGCACCACGCGAGCGCCAACGCGCGCAGCACGCGCTCGCACGCCATGATCTCCCGGCGGCTCTTCGCGCCGCTGCAGCCCAGGTCGGCAGGGCGAGGCTGGAGCGCCGCACGCTGGCCGCTCCACAGGGCGGCCGCCGCTGCTCACGCTCCCTGCTCGACTCGCGCTGCTACGTAAATGATGCTGCTGAACACTCGGTACGGGTTCACACCGCCGCTACGGTGCGCCGCGGATGGCGCCGCCTTGGAGGGCCGGAACTACGTCAACGGAACTACGTCACTGCTGTGTCATGCGAGGCTCGCGATTGATCGCCGGCGTTAGGTGTGTATCACTCGAATTGGGTAATAGCGCTGCTACACGCAGCATTATACATGTCAGCGGAACAGGCAGAGGATGGTGAGAAGAGTCGTACTACGTCTGAGAGTGAGTTTGGAGAGTTGGACGCACGGACTCTCAGTCAGCGGCTGCGTGCTCAAACGCGTTTCCGTCCGACTGCCTGCGAAGCACTGTACGGTCGTCGGCGACCCTGTGTTGTGTTCACGTTTATCCCCTCACTTGCCCTTCCCCATCGCCCACACCCTCCACACCCCAAAAGAGTAGCACCCGACCGAAAGTGAGTCCATTCATTTGTCGCCTCTCCCGCACAAATGAATGGATGACGTCGCTCCGACCACAGCCGCAAACGAGTGCCCCAACTAGCCCAGCCCGACTGTGAGTGGACAGAGGAGCTGACGTTCGTTACTGCCCGACTCGTCCATCAGCCGGCTCACCCCCGTTCGCCTAAATGGCGGGCTCTCTAATATCTGAAAGTTCTTCAATATGATCCTTATTAAATTGTACAGTTCTTTCAAGAACATTGTAACGAAATTCCCTAATTCCTTACTCTGCACCTCGCTATCATGTACACCACCCGACCGTTCTTCGCCCGTTACCGCTTATCGGTTTTCGCCACCTCGCGTCACTTTTGCCAAGCCATGCGCTACCATATTGTGATTGGGAGAGTTGGCTTAGGATACGGGACTAGCCAAAGCTTCGTTGCCTTCATTGCATTAGGTGGTCCGCAACATTGTGTTACCCTTTGCATGTTTCTTTACATGATCTTCGCTAATGCATTCGCTCGCATATTTCATGGCTTTGCCCCTTCAATGCAATCCTCGTCTCGTTCCATTGTCCTTATAACACATGGTATTTCAAGCTTCATACTTTCGAACCGCGCATATTTCCGCAACAAGCCCTCTCAATCATATATTGTTTTCACTCGAAGGAACAAATTCTCAAAACAAATTTATTTGAATGTAGGCTGCAGTGGGGTCGCCCATATTAGGTACACACCCTTCTAGGGTTAGTGACAATCGTTGTAGCCTGTAGTGAGGTTTGTCTTAGGGGGTACACATGTTAGGGTTTGCTACTTGTACCCCAACCAACATCAATGAACCAACACTTTCGATTCTAACATGGTATCACCTAAACCCTGTGGGATCCCGTTCCTCCCGTTCACATTCGTTCCGCCCGAGCCTGTTCCGCTCGTTCCGCCCGTTCCGCTCGTTCGTTAATGCCCGCTACGCCAACCCGCTTACCGTGTAGCGTGGCGCGCTCTCCCTCCTTGCTCGTCGCGTCGCGCTCCCCCTCCCTGGCCGTCGCGTCGCACTCTCCCTCCATGCCCGTCGCGTCGCGCTCCCCCTCCCTGCCCGTCGCGTCGCGCTCTCCCCCCGCTGCCCGTCGCTTCGCGTCGCCCCCCCGCTGCTCGTCCACTGCCCGTCGCGTCGCGTCGCCCCCCCCTCGCTGCCCGTAGCTTCGCGCCGCCCCCCTGCTGCTCGTCCGCTGCCTGTCGCGTCGCGTCGCCCCCCCCCCCTCGCTGCCCGTAGCGTCGCGCCGCCCACCGTGGTGGTCGTTGACGACTACTCCCGCTACACCACGGTGTTCCCCCTGGCGAAGAAGTCTGAGGTGACTTCTACGCTGATCAGGTGGTTACTTTCCACCGCAGACACTCGTGGTCGTCGTGTCAGCTGTCTTCACTCCGACCGCGGGGGTGAGTTTCGCTCCGGCATTCTCGCTGGATTCTGTCGCGAGCAGGGCATTCGTCAGTCCTGGACGCTTCCAGAGTCCCCACAGCAGAATGGGGTTGCTGAGCGCTGCATAGGCTTGGTCATGGAGATCGTTCGCACCTCCCTGACTCACGCCCGTGCCCCCCATTTTCTGTGGCCTTACGCGGTTCGGTACGCCGCGCACCAGCTGAACCTCTGGCCACGCGTCTCTCGGCCAGAGGCTTCGCCGACCAGTCTTTGGACCGGGTCCCCTGGTGTTGCGTCGCGGTTTCGTGTCTGGGGTTGCTTGGCTCTTGTCCGCGACACCTCTGTGGACCAGCTCTCGCCTCGCGCCGTTCCTTGTGTCTTCCTTGGTTTCCCTGAGGACTCCTCTGACTTCACCTTTTACCACCCTCCCTCTCACCGGTTCTTTGACTCCCGTGACGTCCGTTTCGAGGAGTCCACCCCGTACTATGTCAGGTACGCCATTCGAGGTCTCCCGGTTCCTCCTCCCCCTCTCTTCCTGGCTGCTGCTCCCCCTCCTGCTCCCCCGGTACAGCCTCCCCCCCCTGGTCCAGCCCCGTCAGCTATGTCCCGGGCTACCCCTCCTCCTTCGGTAGCCCCTCCGGTACAGCCTCCCTCCCCACAGTCCTCCTCGCAGCGTGCTGCAGGTGCTAGCTCTCGAGAGGTTGGTGCTGAGCCTGTTCCTGTACCGGTTTCTGGTTCTGGGGGTGCTGGAGTTGGAGCTGAGCCGGTGGGTGCAGAGGACTCTTGTCTTCCGGGAGCTGGTGCTGGTCGCGCGGACACTGGGGGTGCTCCGTCTGGGGGTGAGGGTGCGCCTCCTTCGGGTTCTGGTGAGCCTGGGTCTGGAGCTGGTGTTAGTGCTGCCTCTGGGGGTGGTGCGCCTGGTGCTTCGGAGGTGGACTCTGGGGCTGCCGCTGCCCCGGACACTACTCCGCCCCCCCACCCCTACCCGACTAGGCACCAGGCTCGTGTTCGCCGTGCCCGTGAGGAGCAGCTGGCGTTGGAGAGAGAGGAGAGGGAGTTACAGCGGCTGGAGGAGCAGCAGCAGCAGCTGGAGCCACAGGAGCAGCAGTAGCAGCAGCAGCAGCAGCAGCAGCAGCAGCAGCAGCAGCTGGAGCCGCAGGAGCAGCAGTCACAAAAGCAGCCACAGCAGCCGCAGCAGCAGCAGCAGCCACTTCCTCCTCCTGTCTCGGGTCTTCGGACCCTTGGTCTCCCCTCTCGCTCTCCTCCCTCCTCCCCCTCTCCTCCTGTCTACGGTCCCACGTTTCCTCCTCCTGACTCCTCCCCCGCTGTTTTCCCCAGTTCTCCGCCTTTGTCGTCTCCTCCATCTCGTTCGTACTTGGGCTACTCGTCGCTCTCCTCGTGCTCGTCCCTCGTCCCCTGTTCCTTTCACTGACCTTCGTACTGTCTTGTTGCGTTCTAGTCCGCCTCGTTCGGCTCCTCCTGTGCTTCCTTCTCCTCCTGAGTCGGCCCTCACAGCTTCTCTCTCTACCCCTGTCACTGACTACTACCGCACGTACCATCCTGTTCTCTCTCGTGTTCTTGCCTCTCTTGTTACCCACCCTCGTGCCTCTTTGTCCTCTGTCTCCGCTCTTACTGCCGCGGTCACTGAGTTTGCCTCTACTCGCCGCCTTGACTACGCCACCACTCTTGTGGCTGCTCCTCCTACCAGTCCTCTGACCGTCGAGGGTGTGTCTGCCCTTGGCTGTGACGTCCTAGAGGACAGGCAGTTTGAGCTAGAGTTCCTAACAGCCGCTTCCCCTCATCTCTGTGCCATGCTCCTCACCCCTGAGGGTGACCCCGACGCCCTTGACATTTTGACTCCTCGCACTTACGCTGAGGCAGTGTCAGGGCCTTGGGCCTCTCAGTGGAGAGCTGCCATGGACGCAGAGATGGCCTCCTACAGATCCACAGGCACCTACGTCGATGAGGTTCCTCCCCCTGGGACGAACGTAGTCGATGGCATGTGGATCTACAGGGTGAAGCGGCCACCGGGATCTCCTCCGGTCTTCAAGGCGCGCTACGTTGCTAGAGGTTTCAGTCAGCGCGAGGGAGTTGACTTCTTTCAGACCTTCGCGCCGACCCCGAAGATGACCACTCTTCGGGTGTTACTGCACGTAGCAGCACAGAGAGACTACGAGTTACACTCTCTCGACTTCTCCACTGCTTTTCTTCAGGGCAGCCTACACGAGGAGGTCTGGCTGCGTCGTCCCTCTGCCTTCACTGGCACTTTCCCTCCTGGGACCCTGTGAAGGCTGAGGCGACCTGTCTACGGTCTTCGCCAGGCCCCTCGTGAGTGGCACGACACTCTCCGCTCTACCCTCTCTGACCTTGGGTTCCAGCCGTCTTCTGCCGACCCGTCGCTGTTCGTTCGCCGTGGCTCCACACCGTTCTTCGTTCTGGTCTACGTCGACGACCTCGTTTTCGCCACTGCTGACAGGGTTGCTTTGGCAGACGTGAAGTCCGAACTGCAGAAGAGACACACGTGCACTGACCTTGGTGAGCTGCGCCATTTACCTTGGGCCGCAGATCACCAGAGACAGAGCTGCTCGCACCATTACACTCTCACAGTCACACATGGTGCAGCAGGTCCTTCAGCGGTTCGGGCTTCAGCACTCCACAGTACAGCGCACACCTCTTGCTGTTGACCACAGACTCACTGGACCCTTTCCTGACAAGCCGTTTGAGCCTAGTGGTCCCTACGCAGAGCTTGTGGGTTGCCTCATGTACCTGATGACTTGTACTCGCCCGGACCTCGCTTTCCCTCTCAGCATCCTTGCGCGCTTTGTTGCGCCAGGGAGACACCGTCCTGTTCACTGGACAGCAGCTGTGAGGGTGGCGAAGTACCTAGCGACGACATCAGGCGTGGGGCTAGTTCTTGGAGGGCAGCAGTCTGTCGTACTTACTGGTCACTGTGACTCTTCTTACGCTGACGACGCTGAGACTCACAGGTATACTGAGGGGTTCTGGAGTTCTTTCCTGGCGGTCCACGCGCTCCT